CCCTGTATATACAGGTTATTTTTGAAATATATGTACATATTAAAACTGGTAGTAGTGCAAGACATAGTAGCACTGGTGTCGAGAGTCACATTAAATTAACCTTAACACTGTAAATGAACATGAAAAAAATAAAACGTGTTCTGCCTTTGTTAATTAAATACATTTTGCTAACCAAAATAAAAAAAGAATGTTAAAAATAAAAATGTTGATACTACATTGTCAATAACAGACCCACTAGACAGCTGTTGACACTGAACTATCCCCAAATGGTAGTAGCAATAGGTATTTTTTTGATACATCCGAGGCAATTTCAAATATTAACCAGTTTTAATATATACAAAAACACAACCCTGTATAAAACTACTCCATTATAAAATACATAAAATGTGATAAAACCGATTCCAGCTCAATAATTCCATTAGAAAAAAATAAGTACCTGGATCATCTTTTTTAGCCAATTTTTATCAGTTTTTCACTCAATAAGAGCAGTATGTGTGGATATAATACCAAAATGTATTTTTACAGGTGATATCAGTTTTTAGAATAAAATATTTAGACATGTATATCGGGGCTGCTCTTATTTTATAAACTAATTGTAATCAATGCTTTATTTTATATTAACTGACTGAGAATGGACATTTTATGGTATTATGAATATATTTTTTATCCTCAGTTTTCTCCTGGAAATTATATCAAGTAGTACGTCCTATATAAAATGGTACTTATTACGAGATTATTTACAAAAAATAAAAACCGTTAGATAAATTGGTGTACATATCACAAAAGTAATACTGTATTTTAATAATTAAAGACAATAATGTGGTTACTATTTATTAAAATATAGTTAAATTTTACATAATATATTTAACTGCTTTATCTTATAATAGGAGTGCCTTACAACCAATGTTTTAATGAATTAATTTTACAATAAATAAATCTGAAAATCATAGGAGTTTTATTTAAAGGATGCATCATAAGAAAACAAAACCAATCTAAAAATAATATATTTTAATAAAGAATAAATAATTTTTTACAATAAATTATAATTAGGAATAAGTGATATTTCTTCTCAGTCGTTCTTTACATGAAGAAGGGATAATTGTTTAATAGTCGAAACTAAAAAAAAATTAATATATTAACATCTACGACTCTAGCAATATTGAAAATCTTTCATGCATTTTGAACCACCTCCCTACTTCCTAATACTTCATAGCTCTTCTGTTATCCTGATATAAGATTTTACACGAGTTAAATACAATAATTGAAAATATCTAGCGTTATGTGCAGTTATTTAATAAAGAAAATGTCGCAATTTTATTGAAATCGTAGTTATTCGCTAAAAGATGACGTTGTGCAAGTTCCTACAGTAACTTATGGATCCAACTTTATGGCACACACTATATAAAAATTGTGTTTAGTAAACAAAAATTTGAACTTCTATTCAAAGATGTTAGAAAATAAGTATTTGGAAAATTTTTGAAAAAGAATAACTCATTTTTATAATTTGCATTATTTAAATAAACATAAGTATGAGTATATTTAAGGGTGTAAATCTACATAAAAAATGTATGATAGTTTGTCATAAACTAGGGTGCATAAATGTTTCGTTACGAAAATATTCAGTGGCATGCATACCTACTGGCACTAGCCTCAATATTTTTTAAGAAAAAATGGTACAATGGTTTTTCTAAATAAAAAATATTTTTCAATTTCTCTTTCAATTTTAAACTTAAAGGATCTCTTGATTTCTTTTCTTACGTTGCTCTGTTTTTCAGTAAAAGAATAAAAACTTGTATAGTCCGAGAAAATTAATGTAAATAACGAAGAATGAAAGAAACAAAAATTGACAATTGGACCATAGTTTTTCATGTAGATTTACACCCTTAAATATTCGCATATCATTAAGGGACACCCTGTATAAATATCTCCAATTTATATAGCTAACTTCATTACTCATCCAGTAAATTTAAATTTTTAATCAAGAGGGCTAGCTTTAATTTTGCTGTCAGTTTAATAATTTTAATATTCTTGAAAAAGCTTGTTAGTTTTCAAGAAATTGTGTTATTTTGCATACATGGATGGGTTTTTTCTCCATAAATTCATAATATTTTAGTGTCTTGTATTGAGTGAAAGAGTGTTTCGATTATTTTATGGAGGTTTGGAAAGGATCAAGATAGTTTGAATAGCGACTGAACTAAAATTATTACTAATAATGGTAAGTTCATTGACAAAATCTATTTTTATATATAGCTAACCTTCCTTCCTGTGATATAAATTTTGAAAAGCAATACTTTGTATATATTTTTTGTTTATAAAACAAAAACATTTTGACACTTTCTGCGATTACAAAATATATGTCAAAATTAGAAAAAGTACAATTCAAACTTTTTATTCACATTTTTAGGAGAATAAAAAAGTAACAAACTTGATCATTTAGAGGAAGTAAAAGTCGTAACACCGTTACTTCCTCTAAAAAAAAAAGAAGAGGCAAAAGGAAATATTTCGATAGAATTAGTAGAGGTCGCGGACACGATGAAAACATAAAAAGTGATTATATATTGTGCAGCGACGCTGACGGGATGTTTCGTCCGGAAATCTCTCATACAAAATTTGTCCGAAAAAGAAATGGCGCCCGACGAAAAATCCCTGTGCGTGGTGAGGTAGAGAGGGAGAGATAGTGTTTAGAAAAAAGAATAAAAAAATTATTCATTCATAATAAACCGTCGAAAAAGGATGAAGACATTTTCAAAACGTCATAAAAACCCCGACAGTTGACAGGGAGACCCCCTAGGTACCGTCTAAGATCTCTTTAGGACCGATTCCATCGTTGTGTTAAATGGAGATTAAAATGACATTGTTAATGTAAAAATGTCATTTTAAACTTCGTTTAACGCAACGGTGGAATCGGTCCTTATAGGTCCGCATCTCCGGTACAAGTTTCGTTAAAATCCGTCTATCCGTTCGGACGATACGATTTTTTAAGTGATTTTGGAAACCCTATTTTAAATTTTCTCAATAAAAAGAAATATTTCTATCGAAATATTTAACAAGGCAATATATGAAACAAATATGTGAATAATAATAATAATAATAATAATAATATATTGTTTTATCCAAACATTAAAAAAAAAAATAGTGGTAGATTAAACTCCTGTCTGTAATTTATTTTTTCTTCTTATGGTATGTTAAAATAATCCGTAACTAAAAAATTTAAGTCAAAATTACTAGTTAGCTTGAAGCATAATATATTTTGAGAAAAAATACTGGATCTGCTATATTAGTATTGACGTAATTTGTGTTGCAATGACAGTGACAGTAGACTTATAAAAATAGAAGATATATATAGAGGTATTCATTAACATTTTATTTCTATTATTTTTCAAGATATTATATTCAAATAATTGATTACATACCTTTAAACTATTTTTACAATATTAAACAAAAAAACACTAATCAAATTCAATGACAGATTATACAAATTACGTCACACTAATATGCACATATCTACTTTCGAATTTTAAGAGGAGTCCAAAATTAAAGTCAACGCTTCTGGTTGTAATATATGGTACGTTTTAAAAAAATGCCATGTGCCACTTTCGCCATGACTTAAAATATTTGTAAAATCAAAATTTTAAAAAACTTACAAGCTTCCTTTCCCCCCACTGGCTTGGCTTTGGGAAACGGCTGCCGAAAATGGTCCAAAAGCAAAAGAAGACGCTTGACTTTGGCCATGACCATGTCCTCCTGCGAATGCTGCACTTCCTGCAAAACTACCGCCTCCATGACCATGACCGCCTTGTGCATCGTGTCCATAGTTATTAATATTTGTTATATGATTGTTGACCACGCTGTGTGGCTGTTGATAACCACTCTGGCCCCCACCGAACAGACCACCCAGGAAGGGTTTTTTCAGTATATGGGGTGATCTGATCTCTCGAGATAACTCTATAAAATGTAGATAAATAAATTTGTTTTTTTTTTTTCATAGATTTTAAACTTACCTTTTAGAGGTTGTGCACCTATGTAAGCAAAACTTACAATGATATACAAAAACAAATTATAGATATAAACGAATTGCATTGTGATACCCGTTATTATAAAAACGAATTCTTGAAAGAATCCATCCTTTTTATAGGATCTCTTTATCCCCACGCAGATTGATCATTCTATAACAAAAACAAATTCGCAACGCGACGAAGGTTTTGATCTTGGATTTAAACGAATGCAAGCAAAAATCTGCAAACAAGAAAAAGGAAGTTTACCTTCATTTTTTTTCGGAAACGATGAATTTTATATTGCAAAACCCACACACATTTAAAACCAATAAATTATTTTTTATTTATCTCCAAAAGTATAACTATTTATTTCCTGTAATATAACATAATTACAATTTTAAATAAATAATCTTGGACGTTTCTGCTTGTTATAGTCAACTCGACATATTTTCGATTCAAAAATGAAAATATTAATTTGGACGTCGACAATATTTCCAAATGAATGAAGCTCGATTTTTGTTAATTTGTAAAAATGTTTTAATAATATTAACAATAATGTATCCATCAATCATCACATACATTTTTGAATATATGTGACATAATCTTGACGGGCGAGATAAATTAGACAACCAACATTGCTTAACAAATTTTTTTTAAATTCCTTGTTCCGCGGCGATACAAGTATTTTTTTTTATTCAAAAACCATTTGCTTACAAATTTGCGTATGTTCTAGTTAAATAAAAGATGCATGTCTTTCCAAATGTGCGTCATATTTCCATGTATGCTAACAAAGATAAATCCTTGGATTTCACTTATTGCGTGTGCAGATCCCAATTCCGCATATCTCGTTACTTTTATATAATTGATGTTAATAAAATAAAGTGTGAAGAAGAATCTAAACAGTAATAGCGATCTTGATATAATTCTGCAGGTAGAATAATAAATAAAACATTTATTTATTACTGAATAAATTATTTTTATTAAAAAAAGACAATAAAAAAATAAGGTCTATGAAACAGCCACGTGTTAGTAAAAAAAATCACATTACAATCAAAACATTTACAAACATTAACCAAAAACTAATAAAATAGAGATTTTTCCATTTTTTAATAATACCAATATCATCAGTTGAGGGGTCCATTAGCATTCCTAAGTAAATCAAATGTATGATATTTGTAACTGAAAAAAATAATCTAAAGCAACCAGGAATTATAGTACATCTTTTATATTTGTGTGTACAGCCATCTCTACATGGATAAACACGTATACAACAATTAAAAGCTCTTGCAAAATAATCTCTAGCTGCAAATTGAAGATAAGAAAAAATTCCTATTGATATTAATACCACAGAAACCTTCAATTCAAACCCATGCAAGAAGGACGACATGATAAAAGTTGCAAGGATGCCATAGAATTTTCCTAAAGGCAGCCAACATTTGTATACATCTGCAAGAAATATAAAATTGGTATATGAAAAATGTATGTATTGAAATTCAATTTTATTAAAAACTTACATTTCTTTAAAAAGTCATGCATAGGCTTGTTCCAGTGAGTAACAACTGTAGCTAAAGCAGTGGGAAGCTCAATCTTCAGTGGATCTACTATTTTGTACTGCCATTTATTTGGTTCATTCCATATTTTGATATTTTTCAAACCAGCAGCCAACATAGATGCCTCAGATAGGAAACTGACAAAATAATGACTAGTTCTAAATGACAAGGCTTCTTTATAACTTACAAGAAAAATGTTCATGTCATCTTTTATTATATAACTTGTCCAGCAGTTAGAAACAGTCAGAAAAAATATTGAAAGTAAAAGAGCTCTAGCTATGCTAAGTATCCATTTGAGATTCTATAATTAAAATAAATACATATATAACGGTATGAGATGCCTGTCAATATTTATTAAACCTTTTTTGTTGGTTGATTGTACATTAGAATATAATCTTGAAAAGAAATCCATGGCCCAAACATCACATTTGCTCCAGAGAATATATAACCAAAGTATTGAAAATAGTTGGGAAAGTCGATGGCATCTTTATCAATATCATCTGCTAAAGATATTAATTTCATACTGAAAATCATCACTAAACCTCTAATTTCCATCCATGTTTCAGTTTTCATCAAAAAATATTCACTGAAATGTTAATACAATGAACAAATATTTTTCATCTTAAATTTCAAAAAATTATTTTCTCCATGACCACTACTTAATGTAGTTCTTCCGAAACCACTTATAATAACAGAAAGAAAACATTTGAGATTGAAAGAAAATTGCCTCTTATAATATAATATATAAATAATATATGAAAAAATGAAAAAAAAAAAAAAAAAATGATTTTTTAAAAACTTAAAATAAATACTAGGAACATAATCGCAAGTTTAATAAAAACTAAAAATAAATAGTAACATAAAATAGACCTAAAACCATAAAAACAACATTAGCAAGTAGACAGAAATAAAAAATAAATTAGTGGAGAGTAGTATATATTCAGTAAAAATCAAAATAGGCTCTAATCTAACAATCTCCACTAAGAACGTTTTGTAATCAGTGCTATAATTTTTAGACATTTAAAAATATGCATTTTTAAAATTATCACGAATCTGAATACAATAAAATTTATAAAATTCTCCTATGGAGCCCCAAATATCTCCTGGGCCTCAAACTGCCGTGTTGGCCTTTGTTGAGTTGAACTTAAATTTAAAAATGGTAAATATGATTTTGATATGAAATTTGATAATATTCCTGAACTGACAAATTATGCGCATGATTTAAGTAAAAACTTGTCTGGCATAATTAGATTAAATATTTCAAGTTGTTCAGTTTAATTATATTATATTCAACTCCTACTGTGACTGTGAAGAAAGTCAACAGATCTGTTACTTTGTTTGAATGAAAATCTAATGCTCTTGTTCAGAATTTTCCACTAGTATCGAATTTTCATTCCAACCTTGGTACAGAATAAACTATTAAGTAAATGTGCTATTTACTTTTGTGCAAATTCTTTTTTATTATTATTAACTTACCATAATACTAGAATTATTATTAAGGCATATTTTATAATGTTTGAGCTGCTAAGGTATCTGATTTTGTCAATATTTTCTTTCTGAATAGGATAATACTTCTTTTGTATATAACTTGTAAATAATATTAAATATGATAAGGAGAAAAATATCACAACTAGTAATTTTCCTTCAGTTGATTCGAGATGGCTTATTAAGTATATTCCACAGGATCCTGATAAAGCATGAAATAGATTCTGCCCCAATCTCACTAAAAATGATTATATACTAGGAAACAAATTAAAACTGATAATCCTTCTTACCTGATGAAACCAAGATTGCAAACATAAAATTTACTAGAACTATTTTATAAATGATATGAATAATACTGAGAGTTGAAGGTATAACACAGTTTTCCCAAATAATCTGAGATGTTTCTTCAATAATTTCATTTTCGTAAAAAAAATCTAAGGAACTGAAAATTTATAAAATAATAATAATAAACGCTTATTTACAGAATCAACATACTCTTCGTTTTCAGCCAAAGTATATGGAGTCATAATCTACAATAAATTTATTAATTTTAAATATAAGGTTAGGTTAATAAAAGCGGTAATTTTATGGCCTGGAACAATCGAATTATCAACAGGTTGTTAATATTATTTAGTTAAAACATCATGAGCGCTATTTTTTATATTTCTTTTAGATGTATAGAAAATAAAAACAATTCTTGTTTATGTTTGGATGTTTTTTTGCATTTTAAACTAAAAATAAAACAATTATTGCCAAGTTGCCAACCCAAAACCCAACTTTTTAGAATAAAATTTCACAAACAGTTTTTATTTTGTTGGCTCTATGTGTGGTTTTAATATTCTATGGCAAGAGTTTAATGTTCCATGGCAATATTTCTTCTGTTTTTTTATTACGATCTTTTAAGGTTCTATTATTTCTTCTTGTGACCTCCACCTATACGGGTATTTAGTTTTCTAAACTATTGACCTTGTTCATTCTTGTAATTTGTTCACTGGTGATGGTGTTTTGCGGATGTGTTCACTGGTTCTTCAAAAATTTGTAAGTAATGACACTCAACCCGTACCATTTAAAATCACTATACTTGATTTGATGAAACAATTCTATTTGAGCACCACCAAATTTAGAAAACCAAGTCAATAAAAATAAAAATTTGTTAAAAATTTTATTAAAATTTTTATGTACAAATCTTGTTTAGATATTGCACATATATATATGACACATAAATTTATCTAGATCTTTGTATAAATGCATTGGTTTTCATATTAATAAATAAATACATAAAATTACACAATATACAAAAAAAGTTTTAACATTAAAACACAATAGTTAAATGCTATTTGAATGTTTGAGCAGATAATTGGTTCTTTTTAGGATTTAAAAAAAGAATATCTCTTATATTTTGGAATAAAATATGGAATGTTAATGCTATATACCCAGTTTCCAAACTAAAAGTTTAAAAGTATACACTAACGGTTAAAGGCACTAAATTATTGTCAAAATATACATTTTTTTTATATATATATAAAAATATTAAAATTTCTTTGTTCATGGCATTCGAATGATATAAAAATATACATTGCTTCTATTCGAATTGTTATAAAGCTAAAATGATTTTGTCATAATTATATTTATTATTTAACATTTCTACTTTTAAAACTTATTTTAACCTTATAACAAAACTGAAATAAAAGCTAGACTTGAAACCCCATATTGTCTAATTGTATGTCATTGCAACAGCCCCTTTTACAAAATTTTGGCATACTATGCAAGATTTGCTTTTGGTAACAACTCTCTAATATTCATATACTCGGAGTCTGACGTAAAGAAGTCTACTAATTCATTAAAAGTTGGCCTGTCTTCCGCTTTGTACTCCCAGCAGCGTTTTATCATTTTGTAAATATCGTCCGGGCATTCCTTTGGCTGTTCCAATCTATCACCTGCTTCTATCAAACTGATTGCCTAAAAATAGTTGCTGTAAATGATCAAATATTTAAACAGTAACCAATCACATACTTCAGAGCCCTTCTTTTCACCATATGGAGAAGCTCCAAGGGCATACATTTCCCAGATGGTAACACCAAAGCTCCAGACATCACTTTTGTGAGAAAATTGTCCGTAATTGTAGGACTCTGGTGCATACCACTTTAAAGGCCATTTTCCTCCAGCTAAAGCCCTAAAAAAATAATGGTCATTAACAATTTCAGCAATTGTACAAATAGTGTAAAACTTTTACCTGTAATATTCATGATCTGTACCTAAAGCCCTGGACAACCCAAAATCACTTATTTTTGCTTGTACTTGGCTAGCTAATAGAATATTTCTTGCAGCTAAATCTCTATGAACAAATCTATTTTCTTCCAAATATTGCATTCCTTTAAAAAAATAATTCAATTTATGTGTAGTTCAAAAAAAAAAAGTATTAAATTTAACATATATTATCAAGTATAATTTTTTTACCACAAGCGATCTGGGCAGCCCAAATTTTAAATTCATAATTGGGATTAATCTTGTCTTTATTCATATCGATGTATTGTAAAATAGAACCCAATAGTACAAGTTCTTGTACCATTAACAGCGGAGGTCCTAAGGACAGACCTATCAGTTTAACAATACAGTGGTGGTTTAACTTAACCATGACTTGAGCTTCAGACAAAAACGCACCCCTGTTGGTTTCCATTTGTTCATTGTGAAGAATTTTTATTGCTACTTTCATTAATTCTCCATTTTTCTTTGTGTAACTACCTAAAAGAAATAATATTTCCATAGTAAAGGTATAAAAAGTTCAGTCGAATGTAGGTAGGTCGAAATATTTTCAAATCATTTGTAGAAATATAAATAATTTTGTGTTTTTGAAATACTGAACTATACCACTATGCCATTACAAAAAAACATTAAAGAAAAGGAGTCCAAGGTGGGAACCTTGTGGTACACCTGAGGAAACAACAACGAATTGTGATATTGACTCAACAGGTGCAACCTTATATAGACCTAGAAATTACGAGTTAAATAAACTCTAGTGATAATCATGTACAACTTTAATCCAATGATCCAATATTATGGAATAATTTTTTGCTTTTCAACTAGTGTTGGCAAATGACCAATCATTTATAAATCAGTAAGTGACTTTTTATAGGTAATATTATCAAAAATAGAGTTTTAAATATTGCCACAACCCCCCAGACTTAACTTATTACCATTACCCTCCAGTGTCAGATGACTGGTAGGCCCTTGTTCAAGCAGTGGGCCCTTGAGAATATATGGGCAGAGGACCTTTTTTTGATCTTCAATGAATCGGTCTCTACGGAACGGAGCCCTGGAGATCCTAATCCAACACTACCCCCTCCCAGACTTTAACTCTGAATGCACTGTTGACCAGTAAATTAAACTAAGTGCATTTCTTTAAATGCTTTGTCATTCTCGTGGCATGACCTACATATTTTGTTTTGCAAAAAGTACATTCTCCATATATTTTATTATTTTTCCTTTTCCACCTTGGTATTTTTTAAATTTTAAAAATATATTGGATTTTACTTTTTTTCACTTTTCAGTCACAACAAACTAGGTTAGAATAATATGGGTGTGAACTGGTGGGGATATATTGGCCATATTCAAAAGTGACTAGTTACTTTCCATAAGTGGCCAGTCAGTTTTGGTCACTTTCTCAGTCACTGTTGAAAGTGACTGCCAACATTATTTTAATTATTTACCTTCATATACAGATGCAAATTCTCCTTCCCCAATCAACCTTCCTTTTGTTAAACGTTCTGCTGGAATATAATCATTTTCATTTTCTGTGTAGTTATTATTTGTTGTTGTAAAATCGCCTGTGAATGAGATATTGGCGAATTGACTAGGGTAGTACTTGTTATGGAGTTCATCAACTTTAGGAACAGGTTTTGGCGCCACTTTAGGTGAAATCTTCTTTTTGTTGGGTCTAGGCATTGTAGAAAACTAAAAAAAAATATTACTTAATTTAAAAAAGTATTGTTTTAACTAAAAACACAAAAAACTGTAGTGGATTAAAAAAACAAAATATTTACTGAATAATTATTATACCAGATAAAGAAATCTTTGGCCTGAATATCATTAAATTATTTTTAAATATATCAATTAAACACTAAGCAATAAAAATTGATTTACTTTTTAATTTATTTTTTAATTGAAACAAAATAATTATTTTTGTAGTTGATTTACTTACTTCAGGGACAGGGGGCTTCGGTTTTGGAGGCACAGGAAATTGTAATACTGTTGGTAGTCCATCAGGCATAAGGCTGTAATGTTCTACAATATGTTCTAAGGACTCTAAGTATGGTCCATCATCGATAAATAAATATCCATCCTAAATTCAAGACATATTTAATTAATATTTTTAAATATATAATTTATTATTTTACCTTATTATGAATAATAAAATTATAAAAACCGTCATCGTTTAATAAAGTCAATACATCTTCTTTATTTCTGTCACTAAATCTAACTAGATAGGTACCACTTTTTGAACTGTGCTGTTTAATAGTTGTCTCAGCTTCTTGTCTATCTAATGTACCATGATACCAACCATTTCTATCACTTCTTTTAGCAGTATATTTATATTTCTCTAAAAAACGGCATACTCTGTACTATAGACATTACTGTAATATCACCAATTTAATTAAAATTCTTGGATATTTTAAATACCTACCCAATATTTCAGCACAGTCATTATGATTGTTTGATCTAGCCAATTGGGCAGGTGTCTTATTCTCCTTATTTCTAGGCCTTGCAGGGGCATTTAAACTCAATAACTCCTTCACAACTTCTTTGTGGCCCCTACTGGCAGCCTCATGTAAAGGTACCGACCCAGTTTCTGTATTTCTTGCTTGGATATTTGCATTTCCAAGCTGAACCAAAAGTCTAGCTGTTGCAGGAAAATTATTTTGACAAGCATACTAAAAATGTATTAAAATAAATAAGTTAAAGTTCAGAAAATGTTTGTAACTTGTAACATACATGCAAAGGAGTAAATCCAGCAGAATCTCTCAAATTAACACCAGCTCCACATTCTATGAGTTTAGTTAAAATATCATTTTGTCCTGATATGCTAGCTAGATGTACAGCAGTTTGTCCATCTTGGTTTTTAGCATCATGGGGATAGTCAGTTTTTAATAATTCAGAAACCACAGTGTAATTCCCATGATCAGTGGCTCTGTGCAATAAATTTCGGCGTCCATGTCTCCTCGAATCGTGAGGAGGTGGATATTTAGGTATGTAGTCTGTTAAAACAACATTTTCAGCTACTGGAGTTTTTGTGTAGTAATCTATTAGAATTTCTAAACCATGGAACTTAAGGCACTCAGCTAGAAAAATGGTAGTGTTAGAATAATATGGAGTGTGTTTCAGAAAGATCAACCCAAGATCTTTTTGAAACAACCCATACATAAGAACATTCTGATAAATACTTATGGAAAAAAAGGCATCATCAATGTGTCTTCTAATTTGATAGTGGTTAACTTGATCATTATGGAAGACTGATAGAACGTAGTCGCCTGTTGAGGAGTTACTTTCACGTACAAGAAATAATCCATTTCGACCATCTAAAATAGGTACAAAGTTGTTACATTTAACAATACACTTTGTCATTATTACCTTGTGTCAAAATAGTTTCAGCTTCCTCCCTAGTTAATTTGCCATGGTACCAACGAATGTCTTCATATTTTTTGTTTATGTTATTCATTTTTATCTCTAGTATAGGCCATCAATGTAAAATTCCATGTGTTCATCACAGTATAAAATCACATTAACAAATACTGTTTCCGTTATATCTAGCCATAGCATGGCAAAATTAGTTTTTCTTCAGTTTAACAATAACAACAGTTATTTTATCCCTCTCCCTTTGTAATAATTTAACACAAATATTTCATCTTTCTCTTTAACATAAGTGACAACAGATATAAAAAAATTGTGACACTTGTCAGTTTACACTTTACAACGTTTCCTCCATGGTTACAAGCATGGAGGAAAGATTGTTACAAGTGAGCGAGATAGAGTATACAGAATTATTTGTTTCAAACCGAGAGGTAAAGTGAATTAATTAACCGTCAGTGTGATGTATGGGAACCCATGAACTGGAGTTCATTGGTGAGAACTGACAGTTTAGATATGGCAACCCTGTGGGCATGTCATTGATAGAGTCAATGATACAAATAAAATTTATATAGATTGCTAAAAAGCGGGTAGTTTTGTGAGCGGCCATATTGCCTCGTAAGTGCTCATTATTCAGAATCGGTTTAGCAAAAATGTGTTTTAAAACTACTTTTCAGTCTTTGAATATAGTCAAAAAATAATTACCTACATTTTTACTTTAAGGCATAAGCTTATTTATTTTGAAAATCATGAATGATCAATCTATATAACTATTTTATTGACACTGTCAAATCACCAGGCCCCACAGGGTTGCCATATCAGAACCTGTCATTACCCAGGGGCAGTATTTTGACACGTGACTAGGCATAAACATTTTATAAAAACCAATGGGAATTTCGAATTTTAAATAATTCTTCCATTCCGTAAATAATTAATTTTATAATATTTTATTTTGGTATCTCTCACGCATTTTTATCTCTGGCACATTACCAATTTCTTGATTATCTCTTGTTTATGTTTATAAATGTTTTGTGATTTGTTATTGGTGTGGTGACATTGTATAAAGAACTATAGTAGGATAATGGACATGTAAAAGTTATTGGAGGCAATCGCGCCTGACATCTATTGGTACAATCATTGAACTAACGATTTTATTTACTGGTTAGATACGCCCTCTACGTCAGATGTTAGAACTTTATAAGTGACAATTCCGTCAAATTAATTGTCAATATATATTTTTTTAGTTATTAAGATTAAATATAATTAAATATAGTGATTATTGTGAAGAATCAATAAATAATAGCATTCCACAAGATATTCGTCTATATTTAAAAATAAACTGAGATTTTAATGAAACTAAAAGCAATCTGATTATCAGCGTTAAAAAGTAAAACTTTCTTGTAAGGCTTCATAACGAATAGTTAGAGAAATCGTCTATGAATCGGAAGGTTGTGAGTTCAAACCCACGAGTAAACTTCTTTTTTTTTTTTTTTTTTCTAAATTGGTAAAACTTAAATTAGTAATGACATCTAAATCTTCATGGTTAAATTTCGTCTTTTTGCTATGGCCACTCGGGATCATCAAATTATAATAGATAATAATAGGTCCGGTAATTTTATTTAAATCTTTTGACAATGAAACTAAAAATGTGTGTCTAAAGGAGAAATATACCAAAAATAACAAGTATTTAAATTTTGGTAATAAATTTGTATTAGGTACCTATGTGTTAAAAGAAAATTACATCATTTTGTATTTGAATATACAGTGTGGCGCAGAATGTCTGCACCAAGAAAACACGAAATTAAATTTTTCTTTAATCTACGTAAAAAAGTTGGAATTAAAATTTTTTACTGAAAATTATTAGGTACCTAACAGGGTTATTCATTATAAATTACCCACCCTTTATGCTGTAGTTATTATTGTATAATGTTTACATTGACCGAATTTTGTTAAAATGTCATCAAAAATACAATGACAATAATATTTTTAATAGGGATAGCATATATATACAGGGTGTCCCGAAATTAAACGGTAATATTTTAACAGCGTAATCTACAACCTAAAATAGGAGTAAAAGTTTATATAAACATAGGTCCGAAAACGTTTCGTTTTCGAGATACAGGGTGTTACAAGTGAAGTCCAGATGGCGCATTTTTGTAAATATTTTCTAAAATTTCTTTAGTCATCCGTTTTCCAAAGTTAAAAAAAAAATAAAATTTCTGATTCCATGGGCCTACTAATTATTGTTTACGCTTTAGAGTAACATCAACTTATCATGAAATTTTCAAATGCTTTTCTCTTGAAAATGGTGCGTCCTAACGAGATACAAGGTAAGTAGCTTTATTATAAAGAAAACATTGGTTTTCCAAATTTTATAGTCAAAAGTGTTAAAAACTGTCAACAAAAAAAAAACTTAGGGCAATTTTACCCTAAACCCCTTTAATTTACCCACCTATGAAAATGATTAAAAACTGGTGTTTAGTCCATTAAAAAGAGCGTAAAAAGGTAAGCATTTTTAGCAAATTTTACTTAGTTATCTTTAAAAGTTTAGAAAATATTTACAAAAGTGTGTCATCAGGACTTCACTTTTAACATCCTGTATCACGGAAAAGGAACTTTTTCGGACCTATGTTTATATGAACTATTACTCCTATTTTAGGATGTAGATTACGCTGTAAAAATGTGACCGTCTTATTTCGGGATACCCTATACCGGGTGTTCAAATTAAAGTGTTACAGTTAAATACCGCCTTTTATGAAAAAAAACGTTTTAGACGAAAGTTTAATAGTTTTTTGGGAAAAATAATTTGGCTAAAATCGTTTTTTATAGCTAACCATAATATGGTTTTTTCGCGCAGCAAAATTTTTAAGTAGGTGTTACTCTATAAGTAAAAGTCCAATAAAAAAATATTTCCCCCAAAAAAACTATAAAACTTTTGTCTGAAACTTTTTTTATAACATGCATATTTTAGGCGGTATTTTAAGTGTAACACTTTAACTGGAACACCCGGTATATATTTTATTCAATTTTCGGAATGATCTTTATTCTTTCCTAATTAATTAAACGTCGAATCTCTTATAGTTTAGATAAATATATACACTTTTTTCCTCACTGTAAACTACCTATTTGGATTATTTTATTACCAAACATAATAGTTATTGTGATTTTCATAGCTTTTACTTTAATAATGTTAACTTTTTTATATTTACATTATCGACGTTAAATTACTCGAGAACAGTCGGTAAGATAGGGTTATGAATATTGTACATTTTCGAAATAATAAAAAAAAATATATCCCAGAAATTTAATAACATTGAGGGTATCCCATTTAAAAAAGTTTATTTGTGTTGAATTCCGTGAAATCTGAATACGAATGTATTTTTATGGTATATTTAAAAAAAAAGTCATTCATATTCTCATATTCACAAACTTTTATTTAAAGTTTTTTTTTTGAATATGCAATAGTGGTTATATACGTTGTCTTTAATAATGAATAATTTTGTATATGATCTCAAATAAATTTGTTGAAATTATTTTATATGTAAAAATGTCACTTCTGCTTCTCCAGTATTGCTAAAAAAAATTGTGTCCGGGTCTGGGATTTGACGTCAAATATTGATTCTAAATACATTTTCCAAGTAACATTATCTTCCTGTTTTTAGAAATAAAGGTTACTGTTTAGCCAAATTCATATGTTTTTTGGACACACAATATTAAAAACTTCCCCTACTAAATATTTTGCCTCAACCAAAGTTGATATCTTAAATTGATTATTGTTAGAAAAAGTAGAAATAATAGTAAATATAATAAAGAAATTAAAAAAATCATTTAAAATTAATTTAAGTTATATTATTCAAAGAAACAAATTTTAGCTTGCACTTAAATAAAACAGTAAAGAACCACCTGAGAATAATCACTTTAGTCTACCTATAGGTACCAATAATTATTCATAAAAATTACTTATATTTTACAAACCTAACCAACAGGATTATTGGAAATACCAACAAAAGTAATCCTTATAAAATCCATTGTGTTTACTTCAATATTAAGAATTCTTTTATATCATTTACCAACCATCTAAAGGGTTTTTTTATTACATTGCTACCTGTCTGGCACCAGATTAAAGAAATAACCAGAGTTGTTTATGATTATTTCAATGCTAAGTACCTACTTAGTTAGGTACCTACCTACCTATGTATTTAAATTAAAAATAAAATGTTTCTTAACACTTAATAAATGTATTATTATTATTATTATTATTATTATTATCATTAATATTATATAATTTATTTTAAATTAATTCGGATAATACCTGTAAAGGAAAAGAAAAAGAAAAACTAAAGCATATTTTCTATTTTATTAATTTCAAAACAGTTATAAATATACAACTTTTTAATTCTTATTTTAAAACAATAATTAATTGTTAACTAATCTATCATAATATATATCATAGTACAACTGAAGATTCTGTAATTAAAAATAAAATGATTAAACGAAATATGCTTAGAAAAAAAAATTACCCGTTTTCGAAACATGTTATTTGCAAAGTAGTTTTTGAGCCTATTTCATATATTTTTACATCTCTCATACTTTTTTCTCGAATAGAAAAGGATTTGGTCACAGCACCAATTTCTAAGATTAATTTTTTTACTTACGAATGCAAACATTAGTTATGTTGTAGTATTGATAATTTTACATTTTTTTTACCTGTACGAGTTCTCATTGATGTAGAAAGGGTTTTGCAATATTTGAATATTAATGTTCTTAGTAATAATTTTAAAATATATTGCCTATGTTCAATACAAGGCTCCCCTACATTGTCCCATTCAGGTAGATTTGTTTTTAAGTGTTTTTTAATAATTCTGTTCAAATTATATATGATATTTTTTGTTAAGTATTTCGTTATATTTTTACTAAAATTATTCATACAAATTTTTGTAAAATTTTTCATTAGTAATGACGGTGTTTTGAGTGCATTTTGCATTTCTAAATTATAATTTTTGTAAAATATTAGTAATTCGTCATTATTGTCTACATCCTCATTCCCTTCTAAATTTTCTTTACAATAATGACAATTAAATTTTTTAAAACATTTTCTAAATAAATATCCCGCAAAATATGTAGAAGAACAGTTTTCCAAATTAAATTGTTCATACATTAAATTTTTTGAAGAAGAACTAGTACTAGAAGAATCCGTCTCTGAAGATTGAGAATCACTTTTTTCCCTATTTAATAAATCGACAGAAACTTCTTTGGTAACATCTTCAATATTTAAAATACTGTTATCTTCATCAACATTACTTCCTGAATTGGCAGTTTTCGCAGGCCTAATTAAATTTGTTATTAAATTTATTTTAAAGGACGCCCGAAATGTTTTTACCGAAGGGT